GCTGTGGGATCAGCATCTTCATGAGATGTGAGAGGACAAGGTTTAGGGCTGCCCAAGCTCCCTGCATGCTGTCGCTAGGATGCAGCCCTGTTTGGAGGATGGAGTGGGCACTCTGGAGCAGGACTGTTTTTTTTGAGGTGTTGCCCAGGACCATTGCCAGCTGGATTGTGGTGCCAGGGCAGTGACTCCTTGGTCTGCTCTCCCCCAGCCGCTCCTGAGTGATGCCAGCAGGACCACCTCCACCTGGAAGGATTTCCGGAGGAAGCTGCGGCTGCTGGTGCCGTACATGTGGCCGAGGGGCAACCACCTCCTGCAGGGGCTGGTGCTGTTCTGCATGGCACTCATGGGGCTGGAGCGGGCCATCAACGTCTTCGTCCCCATCTACTACAAGAACATTGGTGAGGCACCTGCAGCTTGGTGTGTGAGGCTCACACAGCCTCACCAAGTGCTGGGGAGTGTTGAGGTGACCTGGAGGGTTGCAGGGCTTGGAAGGAGCAGAGTGCAGGGGGTCAGGGTCCTGCACTGGCTGCTGGGGCTGGCTCCCACAGGCACCCTGGGATGTTCCCTGTCCCTCTATCCTAACCTTGGCACACTTCCCACAGTGAATGAGCTGACAATGGGTGCTCCCTGGCACACCCTGGCCTGGACTGTCTGCAGCTATGTGGGGCTGAAGTTCCTGCAAGGTGGAGGTGCTGGTAAGAACCACTGGGAAGGATGGGGCACTGATGAGAGATGATATTGGGCACATCATACCAGTTCTGGGGTGGTCAGGGAAGCCCATGTGCCCCATCACTGCTGCTCTCTTGCAATCAGCAACCTGGGCTGCTCCCAGGTTAAGGAGAGTGAGTGGGCTTCATCCCAAATCCCCCTTCCAAAAGCTGGACTTTTGGAAGTCTTCTGCATGCCCCAGTGGGGTTGATCTTGGTTGACCTTTCCCTGTTGCCCTGCAGGCTCCACTGGCTTTGTGAGCAACCTGCGCACCTTCCTGTGGGTGTGGGTGCAGCAGTTCACCAACAGGCAGGTGCAGGTGCAGCTCTTTGCCCACCTGCACGGGCTGTCCCTGCGCTGGCACCTGGGGCGTCGCACTGGTGAGGTCCTGCGCAGCGTGGACCGGGGCACCAGCAGCATCAACAGCCTGCTCAGGTCAGAGTGTGCCCGTGGTGGCCGGGGGGGGGTTGGCTGGGCAGCCTCACTGGGCTGGGCTGATGCCTCATTTCCCCTCCCACCCCCCCAGCTACATCGTCTTCAGCATTTTCCCCACCATTGCGGATATTGTCATCAGCATAGTTTACTTCACCTCGGTCTTCAGCGCTTGGTTTGGCCTCATCATCTTCGTGTGTATGAGCCTGTACCTGAGTGAGTGGGGGGGCTCAGGGTACAGGGCTGCCAGGCTGTGGGGGGCAGGAGCCTTGCAATGCAGCTTCTTCCTGTCCACAGCTCTGACCATCTTCATCACTGAGTGGAGAACAAAGTACCGTCGGGACATGAACACACGGGACAACGAGGCCAAGTCCCGGGCCGTGGACTCGCTCCTCAATTTCGAGACGGTACTGTAGGAGTTGGGGGGGTCACTGAGGACTGCTTGGGTGCTGATACCAGCTCTGCTCCTGCAGGTGAAGTACTACAATGCAGAGAGCTATGAGGTGAACCGCTTTAACGATGCCATTGTCAAGTACCAGGTACGGGGTGCTCAGTACCTTTAGGGCTACCAAGGGGGAAGAAGCCAAACCTCACAGGCACCTGTGGGGATGATGGAGATCACCATGGGTCTGGTTTTGAGGCAGCAGCATCCTACAGGACTTTGTCTCTTCCAGGTCTCAGAGTGGAAGGTCAGTGCCTCGCTGGGCCTCCTCAACCAGACCCAGAACCTGGTCATTGGCCTAGGGCTGCTGGCAGGGTCCCTGCTCTGTGCCTACTTTGTCACTGAAAACAAGCTGCAGGTAAGGCTGGTGCCAGCCTGTGCAGACCCCTGCTGAGGTGGGGCCCTGGGGCTGGTGGTTACAGACCCCTGTACCCTGTCCCTTCCAGGTGGGGGATTTTGTCCTCTTTGGCACCTACATAATCCAGCTCTACACACCACTCAACTGGTTTGGGACTTACTATAGGTAATGATGGGAGGTGTGGAAGTGCCTGGTGTCCCCCTCTCCATGGGTGACTGGGTCACTATATGCTCCTCCAAACCCTTTTCTCTGGTCTTTGCCCTCTTCAGGATGATCCAGAATTCCTTTGTGGACATGGAAAATATGTTTGAGCTCTTCCACGAGGAGCAGGAGGTGGGTGCCACCTTTCCTGGACCTTGCTCCCTTGCCGGGCCTGTGGTCCTGCCCTGGGGATGGGCTGGCTCTAAGCCTGAGCCTCTGCTTTGACAGGTGAAGGATGTGGTGAACGCCAGCGACCTGCGCTTGGAGGCTGGGCAGATTGAGTTTGAGAACGTGCACTTCAGCTATGTGGATGGGTATGGAGTACTGGGCACAGGCTGGGACCTGCTGTAGGGAGGGAGGGCCATGGAGTGGCCCTGAGCCCCTCTCCATTCCCTCTTCCAGAAAGGAAATCCTGCAGGATGTCTCTTTCTCTGTGATGCCTGGGCAGACCCTGGCTCTGGTGAGAGCAGGACTGTGAGTTCAGTGTGGGAGGGAAGGGTGGGAATAGAGGGGCTGGAAAATATGAAGGTGGGAAGGACAGCCCCCAGCAGGACCAGCCTTTTCCTCTCCAGCCCCTGGCCTCCAGCAGCTGGGAATTGGCCATCTCCAGACCCTTTTCCTTTGTATGTAGGTGGGACCGTCAGGCTCTGGAAAGAGCACCATCATCCGTCTGCTGTTCCGCTTCTACGATGTACGGGGTGGCTGCATCCGCATTGATGGGCAGGACATCTCCCAGGTGAGTGGGGAGGGCCTCCAAGGACCAGGGGGGCCACACCAGCTCATCTGGGCCTCGCAGCACTGCTCAGTGCAGGCACCAGCACCTCCCCAGGGCAGGGGTGAGCATGCAGCCCCCAGAGCCCCTCTGCAGGCTGATTTCTGTTGTGCCAGAAGTGACAGCATGGCGTGACTCCGGGATCCCAGGCTTAAATGCTGGGTGCTGACCACAGCTCCCTGGGAAGGACTAGGGCACTATTAGGGCACCCCTGCAGAGTGGAGATGCAGCTGAGCCTGTGGAGCAGGGTGACCCTACATAGCTTGCAAGGAATGGGGCTCATGGCTGAGGGCAGGATTGGGTTTTGGAGGGTCATTGCATTTGGTGTGGATCTGCCTGAGCCCTCTCCCCTGCCTCCCAGGTGAAGCAGGCTTCTCTGCGTGCTCACATTGGGGTGGTGCCCCAGGACACGGTGCTCTTCAACGACACCATCGCCAACAATATCCGCTATGGACGGATCCTGGCCACTGACCAGGAGGTACAGGAGGCAGCCCGGGCTGCTGACATCCACGACCGTATCCTTTCTTTTCCTGATGGTGAGACCCTTGCAGTTCCCGCCATCCCATGCTCCCCTAAGACCTTCTAGCTGCCCTCACAGGTATCCTTGGGTGACATCTCCCACGGGGACATCTGCATGACTATGTGTCGTGCTTTGTCTTTCCCTGACTTCTTTCCAGGGCTAGATCAGCCCCTGGACAGGGATAAGGTGAGGCTCCACCACGTGGCTGTGAGGTGGCAGCAGGTCCTCCCAGGGCAGCAGGTCCCCATCTCCATTTCAGAAGGCACCAGCACATCATGTTTCTGCTCTTGTGGCTGCAGGATACAACACCCAGGTGGGAGAGCGGGGGCTGAAGCTGAGCGGGGGGGAGAAGCAGCGCGTTGCCATCGCACGCACCATCCTGAAGGGTCCCCACATCATCCTGCTGGATGAGGTAACAGCAGTGGCCCCAGCCCAGCCTTACCCAGCTCTGCAGCAGCCCCATGCCTAGCAGCTGCCCACACGACCTCTACCCCTTCCTCATGTTGTGTCTCACCTTGCAGGCCACATCTGCACTTGACACAGAGACTGAGAGGCACATCCAGGCTTCTCTGGCCAAGGTGTGCACCCACCGCACCACCATCGTCGTTGCACACAGGTAGGGACAAGGGGAGAGGGCTGATGTGGGAGATGCTGGCCAGACCCCGCTAGAGGGGCACACAGACCTGAGAGCCCCTGGGGTTGCATCTCCTGGCACCGTGCAAACCCTCAGGAACTCTCTGCCACCCCAGTCAGGGTAACACACCTGCTTTTCCCTGCAGGCTCTCCACTGTGGTAGGTGCAGACCAGATCCTGGTGCTTAAGGATGGACGCATTGTGGAGCGAGGGAGGTGAGCACAAGGGGAGGGCTGGGGGAGGGGATCCCCTCCCTGGCTCTGGGGCCAGCTCAGGACCCTGCATCCCTCCGCTCTCCTCACAGGCACGAGGAGCTGCTGCAGAAGGGAGGTGTGTACGCTGGCATGTGGCTGCAGCAGCAGACTGGGGATGAGGGAGAGAGCAAGGAGCACCGCACTGAAAAGCCCCAGAGCAGCAAGAAAGCGTCATGAACATGACCAGGAGTTCTGCTGTGACACTGACTTGGGTCCAGGCCCCCTCACTGCCTGGGAGTCTTTTGCTGGCTGCAGGCAAGGGCCCTGCCTGCCCTAGAGCTGCAGGGGCTTGGTTGGACACTCCACTATATTTGTACATGTTTGTTTTGCTGTTGTGTAATTTCTTAAACCAGGTCCTTCCCAGGTCCATGCCTGTGTGCTCTGGGTCAGCTGGCAGGGTTAACACACCTCTTGGTGGGGACAGGCAGGGTTAGTGCCTGTGCCCTTGGGTCAACCAGCAGCTCTGCCACAAGCCTGAGCTCCTTGGGCTTAGGTGGGCAAGGGGTTGAGCAGGCTGAGAGTGCCTGCCCCATTCCCACACAATGGGCTGAGCTTGGCAGGGGGCTGCACCCCAACAGCAGTGGAAGAGCAGGGCAGCTGGTGTCCCCTCATCCCAATGTGCCCCCCACTTCAACCACTATCCACAGAGATGTGCCACTCTGGGCTGGACACCAAGTGACTGCTCCCTTAGGTACCTCTGTACCTTGTGCTATGCTTTTATTTTCTCCCAAGCAGCACTTTGACAAGTCTCAGCATTCCCTGGACCCAGCCTGAACCCCCCTCCCTCAGCTGCTCAGAGCAGGACAGCCCAGTCCTGTACAGAACCAGGCACAGCCCTGCAGGAATGGTTACAGCAGCAGGTGGGAAAGCAGCACAGCTCTGCATGGCTGCAGACTCCCTGCAAGAGGCCAGCAGGACAAATCCCCTCTGCCCAACCAGGCTCTAGGCCCAGGGCTTTGTTTGTAAGGAGGGGTTCTGTGCTGTTGCTATCCAGGAGGGGATCCCGGCAACACAACTGGAAGAGCGGAGGCATTCCTACCCCAGCAGCATTTAAACAGGCCCTGTTTAAGTTTAGGGCAGCAGGAAGGGAGCTGCAACCATCCCATGTGAGTGACGCTGCCATTCAAGTCACTGCCAAGGTTACTTATTATATTAAACCACAAAGGAAATGCAGCTCCATTCAGTCTCAGAGAGGTCTTGTGCCCCAGCCCAGCAGGGCAAGGCCCAACGTGCTCTTGTACATGCAAACAGCAGGGAGGCACCGAGGGTGTGGGGAGCAGGGAAGGGGCTGCTTTCACACTGCTGGGAGGCTGCACATTCAGCTGTGCCATGCCCAGGCAAGAGACCATCCCAGCCACATTTGCTCTTTGCTGAGGGGCTGGCACAGCCCTCCTCAGAGCATGGAATCCAGCCCCCCACTACAGAAGGCAGCTACATCCCAGCTGTATGTCTGAGCATGCAGAGACATCCCCATACAGCTCTGCCCTCACCCCACAGTCCCAGCAGTACTGGGACATGGCTGTGGCAACTACAGGTAAGTGCAGACCCTGGGCTGCTGCTTGCTTTGGTCAGTGTGTACCCAGCTCCGTCCTGTGCACTCTTCACCTCCCCAGGAGCATCAGCAATTCGCTGCACTAATTTTATATAGGTACTAGGGCTGAAGTGTCAGTGTATATTTGGTTGCTTACAGCTCCCAGGGAGATGAGCTGTCCTTGGCAAGGGGCTCTTGGTAGCAGTGTCCAGGCCAGAACCCCACGGCATCCATGCGGGAGGCCAGAGCCACTCCTCGGGTCACAAGCAGGATGCTGTGTCTGCTGGCACACCCTGCCTCACCTGCCTACGACATGCTGCAGTTGGATGGCTTTGAACCATGTGCCTGGAACAGAAAGGAGCACACAGTGAGCAAGGGCAAGCAGGCTTCTTCCTCCCTCCTACAACAGGGCACATCTAGTGCTCAGGTTCCCAGAGATGAGCGCTCAGAAGTGATCCTGTCACTGCCCCAGGCTGGGCTGCCCTCCTGGTGAAGAAATGCAGGCTAGCTAGAGCCCAGAGTAAGCAGAACCCAAGGAGGCCCCCCTCCCTCAAACAGCTAGGCCAGGATCAACCCCACAACAGCTCAGAGGCCACAGCCACCCTCACTCACCTGCCGCTGCGACTGCTGGTACTCGGCTTCGCTCGCTGACAGTGCCTGGGCCAGTGCCAGATCCTCCTCCTCCTGTGTGCTGCTGGGACAGTGGTGCATTGTGTGCCTCAGCCTCCCTCAGGCTCACGGGCTGAGTGCTCAGAGCCCTTCTGGGTTTCAGCATCTCACTGCAACCCCTCAGCATATCTTAAGGCAAGGAGCAACTGAGGATAACTTTGAACAGGCATGGGGCTGGGGAGGGAGCAGAAGAGCCAGCTGGGGCTGGAAGCCAGAAATCTGGGCCAAGGAGAGCCATGTTAAGTCCAATCAGTAAGATGGTGCTTTTAGCAGCACTGGGCACTGTGCCTGGGGACATAAGCTCCTGGGTGTCCTCCATGAACACCCCTACTCCACCTATCACACTCCAGCCAAACCCATTAGCTGACAAGTGGTCAGACAATGGTTTGCCCTACTCTGTGTGTCAGTCACTGTCCCCTACCAGCACCCCTAGGGCTCAGGGCTTGCTTGCTGAACAGTTCCCTGTTGGCTCTGGACTCTTCCTTTTTTCCCCTGTCAGCCAGAGAGGCATCATATGGAAACACGTGCTGAGAGGAATGTCATCCCAGAGCCACATGATGCTTCCCCAGGCCCCTCTCACACACAGGGGAGTGCACACCACACCACACCACGTGTTTTGGGGCTGTACCTGGGTTGCTGTGCTGAGCTGCGTGCCGACTCTGCCAGGGACATCTCCAGAGCTCGCTGCAGTGCCTCTTCCTCGCTCTGAAACAAAACACCTTGTCACCAGCTTGGCCAGGGTGGGGAGCAGGAAGCACATGTGGTAGGTACAGTCTTTCCTGGCCAAAGGTGGGCAGATCTTCTCCCTCCAGGAGACCAGACACAGCCAAGGTGAAAAACTGGGGCTCTGGACAGAGAGCAGTGCTCTCCCGCTGCCCAAGCGGACACATCCCTGCTTGCTAACGCAGGAGTATGCCAAGAACACCAGTGGAAAATAACTTCCAGTCTCTTTCAGCCTTTGCTTGTGCTGCAGAAAGACAACACCCAAGGAAAATGGCTGGTGCACTTTGTCCCTTTGGGGAAAGCTAAGCACCAAGTGCAGCTGAGAGCTGTCATTTGCAGGCACCAGAGCAAGCTCTGATTTCCCACAGAGCATTTAGGATCACTGTCTGCCAGGGAAGACACAGCTGGGAGCACAGTCACCTACAGAGTGTCAGCTAGAAAGCATTGTTGCAGTCACTTCTTAGAGGGCACAGAAACCACCCCAAATGGCCAAGCCAAGCCACTCACCAGCCCATTCTGCAGCATGACAGCTGGAGGGGAGGTGCTGTGAGTCTGCGCCGCAGCTGCTCTGCCTCCCCTGCAAGCAGAAGAAAAGCTGCATTATTGTCAAGGCAGGGAGCTCTAGTATGACTATCAGTCCTGCTGAGGCACAAGAAGAAGGGAGCTGTTGCTCTGGCATTCCACAGAGAGCCAGGATGAGCCTGGTCATGCCCACCTCAGAATTACAAGTGACGCCATCACCTTACCTAGCACAGGCCAGGGAAGAGGAGCTGTCTGCTGGCCGGGCAGCCCCGCTGCTTGGTGCGGTGACTATTTTGGAGGAAGACGCCTGGGCTCTGGTAACTGCAGCATGCCTAGGACAGACAGGACACCTGTGAGAAACTGTTTACCATCATGAGCAATTCCCAGGCATTGAACACCTTGGGCTATCAAGCTGGATAAGCAAGATGCCTCCCTGGCTCCTCCTCCTCCCATGCTGCGGCTGTTATTCCTAGGAGTTTCTAGTGCTGTTTCTCTCCCTAAAACCCTGTACCAGGACAGGCAGAAACCACTGGCTACAGAACAAGGGGTTGGGGAAAGAAGCAAGAGCAAAGCAGCCAGCAGGCAGTACTGACAGTTTTTGCTGCAGGAGGGACTGTGTATACCGGTGTGCTTGGTGCTGCAGGAGAACACCCTGGCACACAGGGCAGGGAGTGTCAGAATGCAGCAGTCCCAGACAATGGGTCAGGAGAAGCTGGGCTTCTTCCCTGTCACCGATCTGGCAAACACAGCCCCACCCCTCCCAGGCTGTCTGTTCTCAGGCCCTCACCCTGCTTTGGAAAGGGGATGCCCTGCCCCGCTGCAGTCATGGTCCAGGGGGTGCCGATGCTTGAGGCAGTAGTTCTTGTGGCACTGGTCACAGATCACCTTCATCATCTCCTTCTGCTTGCAGCCAGGCTTCAAACACTTGTTGGTGAAGATCTGAAAGATGACACGGCAGTGCTGAAAAGGAGCACATGCTGTGGGCTGTCCCTTCTCTCCATGGCAGGCCCTGGGCACTACCAGCCTTCCCCACCAGACTTCTGCAAGGCTCTGAAATTTGTCTCCGAATACTTTCTTTAGATGTCTCTGAGTAATTTCTTTAGATAGTACATTAATAATTCACTGGTGCCTCAGTCTCCATAAACAAGAGTCTCCACAACCACAGAATGCACATCAGGAGAAAGAGTGCCTTGCCCAGGGACTCCTGCCTTCCATACCAGCACAGTGGGGATAGCCCAGGGCATTCCAGCTGCTGCCGGGCTGGATTCCTGCAGGGTCAGCTCCCTGCAGCAATTTCATCTCCTGGCAAAATGGGGTAGCTAATTGCCAATTGCATTTTCCTAATAGCAGCATGCAGTTTACCATCCTTATGTCCCAGGTGGCTGCCCAGCCCCACTCCATCACCGCCCTGCTCCCCTGACAGCCTCCACAAAGCCCTGCGGATGCCTCCAGCTCACCAACCCTCCCTGGATCAGCCCGTGCCAGAGACAGCACCAGGCAGGGCTGAATCTGTGTTGTTTTCATCCCACTGCCAGGCCTGGCAGAGCCCCGCAGTACACACCTTGCGCTTGCGTTGTGCGGGGTCAGACTTGCAGTCACGGTCAATGTGCTCACCCACCACGACATCAGGCATCTCCCCCCGCCTCACAGGGACTGGGGTGTTGCAGAGGGGACACACTGGGACCTGCACATCCTGCAGAGACAACAACAGGGAGCTGGGAGCAGGTAGCTGGGCAACCTTGAGCGCTGCACATTCATGCCTCTCCCTTTCAGGATCTGCCTACCATGGCTTCCACAGCTTCAGCTGCAGTTTGAGAGCCTGCTCATGACCCTCCGACCAGCTTGCACAGCAGGTGCAGAGGCACAGACATACACTCTGGGAAGGGAAGATGGTGTGGCTGGGAGATGCACAAACCACTTCACCCAGTGGGAGAGGGGGGGCTGGATGTTTGTGGCACCGAGATGCAGATCCTGGCTTTCAGGTACATCTTCAGACTCAGTGCACATCCCAAAGGGGACTGCTCAAGCGACCAAAGTCAGCACAGTTTATTATGATCGGTGGCTAGGGAAGCTCAGCAGCTCCATGCAGGAGGGTGGATGAGATTTCTCCCTGCACTTACCTTCTTGTAGGCAGAGGTGCAATCGTGCTGGGCATAAGCAATGTGGTCGGTGCAGAAGATCTGCTCGCAGGCATCGCACTTGAGGGGAAGGAAGTCTAGGAGCAGGATGTAGCATGGAGATCAGCAGTGCCCACCCGCAGCCCAGGGGCCTCCCCGACTTCCCAAAGGCAAAACAGTGACCCGCGGCAAAGCCAGGGCCACACCTTTCATTCCCCAACAACAAAACAAAAGGGCTGCAAGGTCCATAGCCACGTCTTCAGAAACACCCAGAGCTCCTCCTCAAAACGTGCGGTCCCGAGATCAGGAGTAGCATCCCGAATCACACCAAGCTTCCCGCGGGCGGCCTCACACCGGTGGGAAGTGATGCTGACAGTCGCTACGGGCTTCGCCCACCGGGATAACCGGGCTATGGACGGGTCCCAGCGGCCCCGCCGGCGCTGCCTCCCCAGCCTGCAGCACCCAGGCCCGGCAGGGGGGTGCCTGTCCGGGCCCTGCCCCGCTATCCCCGGGCAAGAGCCGCTGCCCACCCGGCAGAGCCGCGTACCCGGACAGAGCCACCCGGTGTACCGGCAGGGACACCCAGCCCCGCCCTGGCGGGGTGTCCGCGGGCAGCAGGAATGATCAGGGACCCCTCCGCCACGGGCAGCACGGGCGACACGTCCCGCCCTTCAAGCCCCGCTTCCGAGCGGCGCCCGGCACCGCCCCGCCGCCTCCCCGCAGGCCGGGCCGCCCGCCCCGCGCCGCCGGCCCTGCCGCGCCCGCTTCCGGCGGGGCGTCACGGGGCGGGAGCAGGCACGGCCCCGCCCCGCCCCGCGCCCCTCCGCACGCCCTTCCTCCGCCGGCACCCGTGGGAGGAGCAGCTCCACAGACCTGCCCGCCGCCGGGGGAAGGCTCAGGGCGAGGCGGAGCCCACGAGGGCCATCGCCAGAACCATCCTGCCCTGACAGGCCAGCAAGAAGTGTCTGCCGCCATGGGACAGCTTGAACTTATCCCTCCATCCTTCCTCCCCTGCCCCAAGGGAAACAAAGCACGGATCCTGCCGTGTAACAAAGCTCCTGGTTCTGTTCCAGTCACCTCGGAGTCTCCAGGTGCCATGCTGCAATGCCCAGCAGAGCACAGATGGGGTGCTACAAGGGTCAGTGGTGCGGAAGGCAAGAGATGCCACGGCAGCAAAAAACTGGAGTAGTGAACAGGGCCAGGAGTGAATTTCATTGATTGCAAAAAAAAAAAAATCAACTCCACAGCCACCCAGTAACAGAACTGAAACGAGACAGGGAAAAAAAGCAGGTATTGCCCAACACCCTGTTCCAGCAGTGACACAAAAGACAGTAACAGTCTGCAGAAGAGGTCTCTTTGCACAACACCAGTCTGTCCTTGCCCCCTTCCTGCTACCCTCTGCTCCGAAGACCCCTTTCCCTTTGCTTGCCCCTGAGAGCCACATATGACTGTGCACCCCATCCCTCCCCCCAGACAAAACCAATGAAAGTTAAAATTATTTACACTTTTAGCCATTTAAAAACCCAATAAAATAAGATTGCATATGTCCTACTGGGGATGTGGGTATTAGCAGCAGCTACAGCTAGCTCGGTACTCAGCGTGCAAAACAAAAGACAAACAGAAGACAGACCGAAATACTGCACCATTACTAGGAAGCGTTTGCTGGGGTTGGTGTTTCAATTGTGGCATAAGGCTTCTAGGAGCCGGCTCCTCCCCAGCTGCAGGGCCTCCTGCTCAGCCAGTGAAGGCCAGGCTCTAGAAGGATGGAAAGGTTTCATTATTCCAGACACAGCACATTAACACTGATGCGTTTCCATCCCAGTCAACACAAACATCTAAAAACCCACTGCACGTTCACTGTGTGAGTTTTTCCTTCTTTCCAGTGATGATGGAGGAAAAGGGGGGGCACAGGTAAGACCTAAGACATAGATGTTGCTGTCATCACTGCCTCCTCCTCATCTCCCTGCTTTGGCAGCTCAGCAAGCATGGGAGAGGAGGGAGATGGAGCAGCCTCTTGTGCCTCCTGCTCCTCTCCGAACCCCAGCTCTACATCCATTTGCTCCAGCTCCCCCTGATCCAGTAGCTCAAAGTCATCTGCTTCCTCCTCATCCTCCGGTGAAGCTTCTGTCTCCACCACTTCGCTCTCTGACAGGTGTGCTTGGAAGCTCAGTTTCTCTTCAGGCTCTGTGGGGAGGAACTCGGAGAGGGGGGGTCCCTCACTGGCCTCTGAGGAGCGCAGGAGGGCAGAGAGGGTGTTCTGCACGGCTGTGGTGATGGCAGTGGTGACGATCTCCTCGCTCAGCGTGTTAATGCAGATGCCCAGGCCTGGGGCAGGGACAGTCTTTGGCTCTGCATTGCCTCCTGCCGCTTGCCCACTCCCATTGAAGTGCGTATTTACAAAATGGAGAGGAGACGCGAGGCGAAGGATGGAGAGGTCAGAGTCCGTGGCCTCTTTGTCTGCTGAGTCCAGCTCACAGGCAGCGTGGGCAAGCTCAGGACCCAGAGGCACACCAAACGCGTCTTCATCACTCTGTGGCCCCAGGTCTCTGGAATGATATTCTTCCACCGATGGAAACTCTGCCAGGTCCTTGGAAAATGACTCCTCTGGCTCACTGTGCAGGCTCTGCTGATCCAGGTCTGAAAGGCACCAGCATTAAGGTACATGTTCCTTCACCTTGACCTCCCACCCACCTTCTCCAGCTGACACACCACAGCTGACTTTAGGGTACCTTCCCCATCCTTGGAGGACAGCAGGAAGAAGTCTGTGGTTATTCCCTTCTGCCAGTGGCATGATTCATGTGTAATGTTTCTTTTGTGATCCTGTTCTATGTGCTCTGTGCTGAGAGAGGACTTCCTGCTCCAGCTCATGCTCTCTGCATTTAGAGCCCCCATTAAAACTCCCAAGGTCAGGGAAATTGTGCTTGCATCACCTGCCTGCTCCTTCCCAGACACCCAAGTGGCCACTGAGTGGTTACCTCCATGTCCTTCACCACTAACCAGTCCTTCTCTGAGCCAGTAAGTCTGACCTGTTTCACCCAGTATCATATATTGGTGTGTGACTATTCTATTCAGTTACTTCTGGGGGACTTTGTGGGTGGCCTTGCTCCCTTGCTGGAGTCACAAGACTGTATTACTTTGTGAGGCAATAATTAGAGGCTGATGTCCACTCAGAACCCAGCTTATGACCAGCCATGAAGTCAGGGCATGCTTGCACTGCTTTTCCTTCCTCCTTTCAATGTTCTTTCCATGCAAATACCTGGGGGTTCTCTCCCTGTCTCCCATTTGTATGACCCACTGTTCTGGGCCAAAACACTGAGGATAAGGGGGCAGCAAGGTGTCCCATTATGTACCTTCAGAAACGTCCGTCAGCTGTGGGGTGGTAGCCCTTGAAACAGAAAAGCCCCCACTCTCCAGGATAGAAGCCTCCTCATCAGAGAGCTCAGAATCTGTGATTGACAGTGCCAGGGCAGTTTTCTTCACATCCACCTGCATGGGATGAAGGCAGAGAGACAAATTCCTGTGTGTCTAAGTACCCACGCTGCCTATGGGCACCTCCAGACCTTCCAGGCAGAAGTCCTTGCTGGAGGGGCAGTATGCTGCTGGCAAAGTGCTCCCTGCACTGGAAGGTAGTCTCAGCTCACTGGCTTTCCTGCAATAAATCACTGCCTGAAGGTTTGCCTGCTCTCAGTGAAGAACACAAAAGAGGCAGCACAAGATGGATGAGACTCTAGGAGTCTCAGAAGGCTTTGATCCTTCTTCTTCTCCTGGGATCACCAAGGAGAACACCCCTTTCCCTTTTGTATTCACACAGAGTGCAACAAAGCCTTCTACAAGTAGCAGTGGTACAAGTATCCACATTCCTTTGGAAACAAGCTTCCCACCTCACAGCCCAGATACATGCCCGGGCTTCTGCTTGTTTTTTTAATGTGGTGCAAATATAGGTCACACACTATCTCTCTGAAAGCAGAGAACTGTGTAAGAGACACTAAAGCTGCTCAACTCCCTTTTCCTGTTTTGAGGAGCCCCTGCACATTACAGCAGGGAAGTTAATTTCTTCAGGAGACATTTACATTCTCTGAGCATGAAGCATAACCATCAAAGTAATTCTGAGGTCAGCACGAGGCTGGCCCTGCCCTACTGTGGCATCATCAGCTCTGTGGCACCAAATTCTCAATACCCACACTGGAGATGATGGCCTTCATCAAACACATGAACTTTTCCTCTCAGAATTCTGCAAAGAAGTGATTTATTGCTCTGCTGTGTGTTGTCATTGTTGCTGTACTCAGACCACCCCTTGGCTCTCAAGCTGCTTTAGACCAGAGAGGAGGGACTGGTTCCTGCTAAGCTCTTTAAGCTCTTACCACTGGGGAGAAGCCTGACAGCTCTGCTTCGCTCTCACTCTCTGTCTCTGCTGTTGGCTCATCACCTGCTGCAGGCTCGCTCTTCCCTTGTCGTTCTGTGAGAAAGAGAAGAAAGGCTTTACACGGCACTGAAGGAATTTTCTGCCTTTATACACCACTATCCCCTACTTCCTCTGTGAAAGTGCACAGGGCTCCTGGAGACAAGCATAATCTGTTGCTCTCATGTGCTGTTCTCAGGATCACCTGGGAGCACACAGTTGCTCTCCACATAACCCTTAACATTAACCCTTAAGTTTCCACCTCTCTTCCCCTGCAGCCTGTCACCACACAGTGTTGGCAGACATGGTCTCCTATTGTCCTTCTGCTATGTCTCCACCCTAGGAATACAGCACCAAAAAAAGCTAGGGAGAAGGTGGTTCCTTACTCTTCTTCTCATGCTTGTGGTGCAGTGTCTCTGCCTTCATACTGTAGTCCAGTTTCATCAGGACAGGCTCCAAACGTGTGTACATCCTCTGGATCAGCTCATGGTAGACCACCAGAGGCCACAGCAGAATGCTGAGTACTGTGGACATGGAATGCAGGGAGCATGAGACAGATCAAACACAACCTGACTCTTCTGTAATGCCATTGAGAAAGCCTTCAAGGGAAACACATTTCAATGGCATGTTCTTTCCCATCTGAATGCCTAAAAATCCTCATCCATGGCTCTTCTTACTCATTGCAAAGCTGCTTGATTAACCAGGTTTTACTGCCAGATCTTAGAGAGAATATAGATTTATGTTAAGATGAAGCATAAGCCCTTCTCTTCAGCCACTGCACCCCAGACCCAACATGCAAAAGAAGCCCTAAAATGAGCATAGATGAGAATTAAAACTAAGTATTACCAAAATTTGTATATGGGTAGCTGCATCGAGCTCATGTGTAGATGCACTCACAGCAGAGCACCAGAACAGAGTTATTAGGGACTCATGATGCAGTGAAAAAGTCTATTTACCCAACATGCAGCTTTGTTAACAACACTTTCAATACGGATTTGCCCACCTTAGGAACTGAGACTGTAACTTCCTGCTTCCCTGGAGCCTCGGCCAACACAGCCTCAGCAGTGGGGAATACAGGGCACCAATATTTTAGTCACGGCTCCCTCTCCTGCCTTTGCAGTTGTACTGCATGCACGTGCTTACAGAGACTTCCTGGAACACATTCCCTGTAAATTGATTCATCATCCAGCAGAGATCCCCTTGAGAAAACTACAAATCTGCTTTTACCAGCCTATCAACAGCACAGCTAGGTCATGTCTCAGCTTAAGTCAGACAAGAGCGCTG